CGCCGCGCATGTTGATTATGGAGGTGAAGGGGATTCGGAGGGGGAGGTTGGTTGGGGGAATGTTGGGGAGACTGGAAAGGAAATTTATTAGAGCAGTGAAGATTGACTTGTGGTATTCGGGACAGCAGATGCTTCGAGCTCGGGCTAGTAGGGAGTTAGAAGGGGACAACGTACAGCCAATCAATGACACGGTCGTGTGTGCAATTGAACACGAATTCGTCGATGACGCGATCGATGCCTACGGTTCGGGATACGAGTTCGAGTTTGGTGTCGTCCGGGTTCGAGAAGATGAAGTGGTGCGTGTAGAATGCTGTTAGTCTTTCTTGGCCGATGCCCCCGCTGTTTGTGAATCACCGTTAGCATCTCCTTCCCAGGATTCCTCAAGAAAGCACGAAGCATATCTTCGAACTTTACAGTAATTGGAGGCCGGGACTCGGTATCCTAGAGGAAGAATTATGGGTACTCACGTCATTGTTGGAATATGGTTAACATAAGGTTCCGCAACCATCGTCGCCATCGTCTTCTCCACCGCCCGTTCCCCAAACTCATACAAACAATGCTCTTCCCAAATTGCCTCGAGATCAAAATACGGCCCGTCCAGCAGCGGCTTCAAAAAAGCCAAACTCCGTGAATGCGACAAATTTGCCGATCCTCCATGGTAGTTCGGGTCCGCGGGGATCATCCACGGGACTTCCCTCCCAGCGTCCAAATACCGGAACGTCTTGGCGGGAGAGCCTTCGGACAGCTCTGCAGACTTGTAATAATCTTCTGGGGGAACGATGCTGGTGGATGAGCGGCGAGGTTCGGGTTTGCCGGAGATGTGGAGGAGTTGTGGTGGGAGGGTGCGGTTGTCTGGGTCGATGGAGCGGAAGGGTTTGTGCGAGAAGGAGATGATGGCTTTGATAGATGGGCACAGACAGGTTGCTTCTTCGACATAGAAGGGGATGCTGCGTAGGTATGCTATATATCGATTAGTCTTTATTCGAATTGGATGCTGTAGAACTCCGAAGGGTCAGATGCAGGTCCACGCCACCACAATATCCTGCGACCCACGAAAGACACAAAGCCTGACCAGACAGAGAGAGAAACGGAAGATATAAAGATGGTAGAATGTGACAGAGGAAAAATAGCCATACAGATCAACCCAAAACCATCGCCCTCACAACCCTCTAGCTTCCTCAACTCTTCGACAGCCCGCGCCAACGGAAATTCATCCGGTTTTCCAGGTACTAATACCTGCGCCACCGCGTACCCCTCCTCCGCCCATTTCTGCAGCGGCGGCGGGTCAAGATTCGCCTTGCTCTTCTGAAGCAACGCGTAGTGGTCCAACACCAGAATAAGGCCCGGCCCGCGTCCGCGTCGCGAAAGTGGGGGTTGCAGCGTCAGGTGGGGTGATATCTCGATGGGCTTCGCGTCCGGAATGCGCAATCCTTCCAGAGATTCTGCGACAGTGGAAACTTCCCCCATTTTGAGAATCTCGAGCTGTTTGGCTGTGATTGAGGGAATTGGGGAATGCGTTGGAAAAGGAGGTGTTGGGAGCTTGTGGTTCAACAAACCGAGAGCTAGCCATGCTTCCCCGCTATTGAGGAGAACGTGCCACGAGGGGCATTTTTTGGTGTAACGCTAACCGCAACGTATGGTACCGATAGCCCTGCCCAGTCTTGAAACATTCAAGGTTTTGCCGGGGTGTGTTGGGCAGATGATCAGTAGATTGAGGCTTAGAATGCCGGATGATCATTCAGATGGATATTTATAAGTCTAAAATGCGGGAGCGTGTCTATTGGGCAAAGTGTACCATATGCAGACGATACGAAAGATTGCATTTCTCTTCGGAACCAATTATACCGACCCAGTTCTCAGGTATCCTGGTATCTTTGCCTTATCATTGCTTTGTCCCTCGTCCTCGTTCCGCACGTAGCATGCGACGACCCTTGGATCGGTGGGTCCGAGCACACGGATTGTCCGTTTTAGTTTGTGCTGTCGTACCTGTTGGCTGTGCTTCCGCCGCGCTTCCATAGCTCTCTCGATGAACCCTAGTTTATCCTCACCGGGTGCACGAACTTTTGGCCATGTCAACATCGACTTGGGGCTCTGAGAGACTTGTGGCGCTTGTGCTTGGCTTGAACTGCCCGGATCTCGAGAATGAGAGGCTGATTTGGTAGATGGAACTGGGTTCGGAAACCCTCGAGAATGTGCTGTCGCCCTAGGGCCTGGGAGGCAATTCTCGGACACCAATGGAGTCGGCGATGTGGGCGACATTGACCCAGCGACGGTGTCGACTGAAGCAGCTATAGGACTAGTCTGCGGTGATGGATCTGTGTCGGGTGCCGGCGAGGGACAAGGAGAAGATTTGACGATGGCTAATCCGCCAGGCAATCGTAGAAGCGGTTCTGTTATCTGGGGAGTTGATGCGCGACTGGGAGAACTCGGCCCTTCCTTTCCTTTGATATTCTTCCTGCCCGGAAGCCTCCACTGAGGATAGAGCTCGAAGAATTCGGATTGCTGTTTAGGCAGTCTATTTGTACGGAATATGGAAGTCTCCTTGTCAACGGTGGTGTCTTGGGAGTCGTAGTTTGGGCCTATCGGTGCCAAAGACTGATCGACCTCATTCTTCTGTACCTGGGTCGTCAAGCCTGAGCCAGACCTATCCCACATGCTCCCAACAGTCATAACCCGTGGTACCCATGAGCGTGGACACTTTTTCTTTTCCCTGCCATCTTGGGCTAGCTCTGTATCGATCATTTGACCTTGAGCATCGGTGCGAGAAGCAATGCGAGTAGTACTACTAGCAGACGGCCTCTGCCAAGAAAAGTGTAGAGGGACTCTAGGATGCCGTTGCTGCTGGCATCGCACCTCGACAACCCGTTCATTCACTTCTGTGGGATTCCCAACAGGCAGTGTACCATGTTCCCAAGCACCTTCTTGTGCGACAACTTGCTCCCAGTATTGGTCTACAAGTAGTTGATGATAATCTTGAGAAACGGTCAATTTTCTGGTCGTCTCATCCAACCTTGGGTCCTCGGATCGCTCGTCGTCAGCTAGCGTCCTGCCCTCATTTAGTGATCGAAATCTTACGTCCCTCAGGAAATACCAGTCTGGCCAGTCGTAGTCAGATATGCGTGCGCTCCTTGGCAAATGGGGTCGACCGGGAAAGGATCGCGGTGCGCTTGGAGGGTCTGACTGGAACAACACCTGAACATATTCTTGTTGAGAGAGGCCAGACTGTTGAGAGGAGATGGATGCAGCCGGGGAGCCGAGACGGAGGGGCTGTGAGACATCGTGACCTGGACCTGAAGCAGCTGTTTGAGCGGGTGGTTGGTGTTGAGATGAGTTGGAGTTGTCCGTATCACTGTGTGAAGGTAACGTGGGGAGAGGCGACCTAGGAGGTGTTTGAGGAGGTACCAGGTCGGGATTTTTCTTATATAGCGCGGTCGGCTGGGTGGCCATAATCAAGGGCAATTCGCTTTCAACTGCATACAAGAATATGCTTCTTTCCGTCGAATCTGGCGACGGCTCTGGGAGAACGGGTGAATATGAGCGAATCTCTGGGACCACGGGAGTACTGGGTTCCCTTGCACTGGAGGTTTCTTTGCAAGTTTCTTTGAACCAGTCTGAGGGCGTTTGCCACGAGGACCCGCTTGATTCGCGTGGTGTCGACATAGTATCCGATGAAGGTGGCGGGTGGTTTCCCTTTGGTGGTACCGGCGGCAGAGGTTTGTTGGTGGCAGGATTTGGTGGAGCCGTCTTAACAAAAGACCTGAAAGAGAGAATGGGCTTTTCCATGCCATACAGCGACGATGTAGAAGAATTGATCTGCCTGAACGAGAACGGCGCTCGCAAATGGCTCAATTGACGTCGGTTCATACCTCTACTGCGAGAGGGGCGAACGAACGAGATGGTCGCACGTTCTTCTAAAAGGATTCCAACAACAAAGGGATAAGATTTAGGCACGTACGTGCAGCCAAAAGCGGTATTGCAGAGAGCAATTTGGAGCAAGAAAACAAAGAGAACAAAGATCAGGCACTCGTTTTCGACGAAATGGCGAAATGGGCTCACGCATTCGGACTACTCGGATCTCCTCAATCGTAGGGCTGGAGCCATCTTGCGATAAACCCTGCTCGAGCTGCATTTCGTGTATCAGGGTACTAGGTTTAACTACTAGTAGGATCTGTGTCTTATTAGGATGGAATCGCGGATTAGATCAAGGATGCAGGTCTGGAGAGATGGTGACTGGAAGTGGGGACTAAATTTTTCAACGAAAAAGGCAGATGCCTACGAATTTTGTCGGTCGACGGAACGATGGTGTTCGTTATGTAGTCCATGGTCGGGTCGCTTGCTGTTGTACACATGACGGCACTTGTAGAGATGCTAGATGCCTCGCAGCCGAACTTGTAGACCTTTCCGCCCGGTAGGGGTTTCCGTACCGGTCGGACGGGAGAATCACAAAGAAGAAGTCGCTGGGTCCGGTAAGTTGAAGGTTGGGGACGTCCTATATTTAATGCGAAGAGAATGTTGTGTCTGGAGCAGTTTCAGTGGGGAGAAACAAGGCGGGGATGGGAAAGCTGAAAGCATGTGAGTCGTGGTGGTGACGGAAGCCGCATTCGGCATGCAAAGCCGATAAATTCTTCGAGCTGTGTATGGGCGCAGCTGCGAAGTCTAGCTCGAATTAAGGAGACATTTCAACGGTGGTTAGATTATAGCCTTCAGTTAAGTATATAGAAAGGTAGAAGGTCTTCAATATCACAAAGGACCCGGGTTTTGGAGCGGGTGGGACCTATTAAATGGTCAACTGGAAGGCCTGATGACTGGCGTGGGGCCACCCCACTATAGCAATCCACCCACCGGTGGACGAATCCCACCGTATCAGGGGCGACAACTGAATGCCCCTGTTTGTTCATCGACCAACCCAGCCAAGTACCCCAGAGTGAAACTGTGCGTGCAGCTTTATTAGACGCAATATATACCATAAAATTTTGAGAAGTGCATATTCAATCAAAGCAGGGCCGGTAACTCAGTGGTAGAGTGTAGGATTGCAGTTTCATACGACAGTACTATCCCGAAGGCACCGGTTCGATCCCGGTTCGGCCCTCATTCTTTTTGCAGTTCCATCCTCCATGCACATCCATCATCTTTCCTCACTCCCACCCTGCTCATTCATCCCTGGACCCGGATTGACTTAAACTCGTCCTTTTTTAAGCTTTATGGCCTCGCAGCTTTTCCGCCTGAGTCCACACGAAGCATTGTCAGCCCGCGCAACGAGTTAACCATCTAGGAACCTCATTGCGAGATTCGCGACAGTACACGCGGGCGACGGAGAGTTGTGTGCTGCGGTCGACATGTGGGCTTACAGTCGCTTGCAGGCGGAAGTTGAGCCGGGGGAATTTCACGCCGACGGCAGCACCACACGGCTTTCGGCCGTACATACATCTCATCTTTGAGTAATCGCGCGGCGGCATAACGGTCTTTCCAACAAAATACGGTCGTTCTTTGTTGCGAGGGCCGCTGTGCATGTGCATGTGGATTTCGTCCGTCCTCTCTTTGGATGGATTGAATGACGAGTGCATCATGTGGCATGGCATCTGGTTGCGTCGAGAGTTGACTCGATGTGGACTTGCGTTGGACTGCTGGAATGCGAATAGCATAGGCGTGGACTCTGCCCGAACGTCGCATCGGATTGTCACGAAGCGTCGAGTTTCTACAAGCGGTGTGGACTCATACGATCTCTTGCATCTGCCGACCAGAATTGGTGTTGAAAAAAGCCATTCAGCCTCACAACCAGCTCCCAGATCCAACCATCTCGGATCTGTCCTCGGACATGCGGACTTTTACCCCCATCAGACAGTGTACGCGAGCCCTCTCAGTCATCTGGGCGGGCTGAAGAAGATTTCGCCGTTCCCGGGCGGGCCCACCTCGTCGCTGTTCAGCCCTGAGCCTCGCCCAGATGCGAAGCAGGACGCGGCGCAACTCTCCCCAACCCAATCAGAACGGGGACGGCGCAATCCCTAGCCAATCAGCGATTGGTCCGATGTCAACTAATCCACGTTCTGTCGGGACTTCTTCTATTCCCCCGATTGTGCTTGGTGGCTGAAAAAAAATAACGATGTCGGACAGGTTGCTAGCACGTACACGGTAGACGATTGCGAGCGAGAGTGTTACGGACGGACGAACTGGGCTGGACTCCACTATCGTATGCAAGATGGAAAGGTCTATATCTAGATCTCTGGGCTCCCGACTTCGAGAGTATCATTGCACAGCATACCCACCAGACTAGAACTCCAGTCAGTCAAAGTCCGAAGCGCCTCGTCTCTAGACTTCGTAGGATTCGTTTACTCTTTTATTGATCCACCCTCCTTGGTATTCTTCAGTCAAATTTTGGCTTGAAAAGCCACCCCCGCCCTCATGGCCGCAACCATATCCACCCAGACCCTCCCCTCCTCCATCCTCGAATCGCGAGCCGATCTCACAGACTCCAAACCGAAAGAAGACTCCTCCTCAGAGCAAAATGTGCCCTCTGTATCCGAAAATCCTGACATCGAGGCCTTCAACCCCGGATGGCGATTCATGTTGGCCTTTTCCTCTCTTTCCATAATCACGTTGATGGCAGCACTTGATGCTACATCCATTTCCGTTGCGCTTCCAGTACGTTTCCCTCCCCCACTACACTGAACTCCCCTACGAGATGAGAGTAGTCTCGCTGACGCGGAATTCTTAGATAATGGCCAAGCTGCTCGGCGGCTCCGCCATCGAAGCCTTCTGGTCCGGAACTTCCTTCCTCCTCACCTCCACCGTCTTCCAACCCGTCCTAGGATCCTTCTCGCACATCTTCGGCCGCAAGCCCCTAATTTACCTCTCCCTCATCCTCTTCCTAATCGGTTCCATCGTCGCCGCGCTCGCCAACAACTTCACCGTCATCCTCGTCGCACGCAGTATCCAAGGCATCGGCGGCGGCGGCATTATCTGCCTAACCGAGATCGTCGTTACTGACATGGTCCCCCTTCGCGAACGTGGAAAATGGTTCAGTGCGATTTCCGGGATGTGGGCGATTGGTACTGTTGGCGGGCCGCTGCTCGGAGGTGGGTTTGCGCAGAATGTGAGCTGGCGGTGGATTTTCTGGATTAACTTGCCGTTTATTGGGATTGGAGCTGTTATGATTACGCTGTTCTTGCAACTCAACTACAAGACGAGTTCCTTTATGGCGAAGCTGCGACGCGTGGACTGGATCGGGATGGTTTTGTTTCTGGGCTCCACGACCGGTTTCCTGATCCCGATTACCTGGGGCGGTGTCCAGTATCCCTGGGACAGTTGGCGGACTCTTGTTCCCATGTTGGTTTCAGCAGCGGGTCTTGTTGTCTTCGTTCTGCATCAAGAATATGTTGCTCCGGAACCCCTGATTCGGACTAGTGTGTTCAAGAACACCACTGCGGCGGTCACGTACCTTGAGACGGTCATCCATGGAATCATTCTCTGGAGCGTACTGTACTATCTCCCGCTCTACTACGAGGCCGTGAAAGGATTCACTCCGATCCTGTCGGGTATCGCGCTGTTCCCGCAGACTTTTACTGTTGCACCGGCTGCCATGGCCGTGGGAGCTGCCATTGCGATGACTGGGAGATATCGCTGGGCCATCTGGTCTGGATGGGTTCTCACCACCTTCGGCATGGGACTTCTCATTCTGTTGAAGACGGATACCACGACCGTGCAGTGGATCTTCCTCAACCTTGTCGGTGGTCTCGGAACTGGGATCCTGTTCCCCGCAATGGCGATTACGACCCAAGCATCCGCGGTCTCGGCCGACCAGGCCTACGCAACCAACATCTTCAGCTTCCTGCGGGCCTTCGGACAAACAATCGGTGTCGCGATTGGCGGCGTCATCTTCCAGAACCAGATGAAGAAGAAGCTTCTCACGTTCCCCCTGTTGGCGGACAAGGCGGCCGAGTACAGCAAGGATGCGGCGGGCCTGGTGCAGATCATCAAGAGTCTGCCTCACGGAGAAATGAGGGACCAACTGCGGGCTAGTTATACGGATGCGTTGAAGTATATATGGATCGTAATGACGGTGTTGGCGGCCGTGGCGTTGATTGCGAGTGCCTTCACGAAGGCGTATCCGCTGGATAGGGCGTTGGAGACCGAGCAGGGGTTCAAGGAGAAGAGGAGGAGTAAGGACGTTGAGGCTGTTGATGGCCCAGCGAAGACTGAGGCGTAGAGGGAGAAGTGTGATGTGATTAACCAACCTGGGAGGGACCGGTGGATCTCAACTCTTGCATGTAGACTTTTTTGCATTAGCGCGGCGTTTGGGTAGATGGAGATTCATCTTGTCTTGATTTGAGGCAGTGGGTTATGACGATAGAGATAGACTGACTGGAGCGGGTGGTGGCATCTACGCATATTAACGAGTTCCCCTTCTCCTAGGTTGATATATAGATAATGTATAACTCCCTTTTGTTTACCTCTTGCTCTACCCTGGTGCTTTGTGTCTAGCGTGCTTAAATGGTTCGTACATCTTACGCGATGGACTCCCGTGTGCAGCTGTAGTCTCAGCCTGCTTGTAGTATTCAGCGTTCTGCGGTCACAGCAGGCCGTACATGAACACATCTCCAGTGATTCTGGTAGTTGTCTGGTACATAGCGGCGCTTGACCAATGTAGACGTTGATACGTACCCTTAATGACACCAAATATAGACTCGCCCCACTGCACCCCACTTCACTCCAGTCACCATGGAGGGAGATGAAGGAACATCTCTAGGGCTCGCCCAGGCGAGAACGTGCTGGTGCGACAGACAGCAATAACAACAAAACAGCACAGCCTCAAAGTCCTCTAGGATCTAAGCGTGCACTCGGCTCCTTTCCGGTGATGGAAGGGTGCAGGCGGATGGGTGGATTTCATCCTTCTGCGTAATTGCCGAACTGGGAGCGTGAGAGGACAAACGCACGCGAAGGGAGTGCAGTCGTATTTGTGGGTTGTATGTATGTTGGGCTGACCTCACGTCCGCATGCATACATACTCGCAGATGTTGTTGGCTTGACATCTGCGAGACTTTGCGCCAGATGGCTAAACAGCCCAAGAATAAATCAAAACCTTCTCGAGTCGGCTCCGACCTTAGAATCGAGTGGAGAAATTCAGCGAATCAGAAAATCGTGCAGCCGGTCTCAGTCTCAGGCTGCGACTCCATTACAGGCTGGACGCAGACTCGGACTCGGTCTTGGCAACGTGCGCGAAGCAGGGGCCCTCTGCTGAAACAGCCGTTGGACCCGAAGGCCTGTGACTCGACCTCATGGGTGGCGACGAAGGAACGAAGATAAATCCGACCAGTGACAGCAGACAAGGTGAAGCAAGGTGAAGGAAGGGGTTTCCTTGCGATAACATGGTGCGTTGTGCAGATGGATGGGCGATCATTGTCACACATGTCGAAAATGACGATGCAAGGCGGCGAGCAGCGAAAAATCAAATCCCGATGCACGCACGCAGGATGGTGCGAAGACTGGTTGTTATCAGGTGCGAATGCGGTTTGCGGGGAAATGCATTGTGGTTCCTGAGGCTTCGCGCCACCGCAGGCAAAACGCTGGCAGTCTCGCAATTGAAGATTTTTGGACGAGGGCTTGGTGCATCTTACCTGGTCGGCCTGTACGCGTGGAGTGTTTAAGCTGGTGAGACAGGGTGAGAGAAGGGCGTTGTTGATTTGGATTTTGGACCGCATTCGTCATGGCTGCGCTGGTGATGTGTCTGCCTCTGGTGTCTGCAGGAGCATCTGGCGATCACCTAGCTTCGCATGTGGTGCTGCAGGGGACGGGAACCGGCGTGGAGCTCAGCATCAAGCGGTGCCGCATCCATGGATGGTTGCTGGAGTCAGTGAGGTGAGGTCGCGATGATGGAATGACCGATGGTCGCACAGCCTGGACTTGTCTCGGGGTCGTCATGGCCATGGTGTCACCCCAGCCACGATGCCGTCGTCTTGTGCGATGGTCGGATATTGATTGGACGCAGGGGATTCGGCTGGGGTTGTCGTGGTGGACCAGGGTGCCTGCCCTGGTGGGAACCTTGGAAAGGACGAGTGGCCAGCCAGCGCAGGAGCGATGCTGACTATCGTGACT